AGGACAAATTAAGATTCATGACGACTTGAACTCCATAAACATTTCATAAAACACTCATCAAATATAACATTATGGGAAAAATAAGGATAATCCTTTCGAGAAATAACAATTAACTGAACATTCAAAGAGTATATAATACGCTTTGTTGCATCCATCAATAACTCACGCCATAAAAGAACACACCAAAAAAGGCCATTGCTTAAAAGATAATATTAAATAATGCAATGCAATACTACACCGTATCATATTTCAAATCAAATCCTCTTTTTCTAAATTCGGCAAAATTTCTTGCTCTATCTAACAGTGAGTTCCCACTGGACACTTTTTTCCCAGTATCGAAGACGACGGCACTTTTCTTCCAAATCAAAATTTCTATGTGGAAGACTAGCGCTCTACAATCACAACCATTTTTGACATGATCAGCTACGTAATCAGTTAAATTTGCAATTTTAAGATCGGCTGATATGCTGATATTTTCTCATGACACAAACAATTGCCGGCATTACTTAATTAATCAATGAGAATGCGATAGTTAATCATGATAGTAACAATGACGATAATAAATAAACATTTAGTAAACGAATAATTTTAAAACAAAAAAAAACAACAATTCAAAACAAATGAAATTGCAAACAAATGCAAAAACTTCAATGTAACAGTCCAAAGGACCACAGAAACTTTCTGCAATTCAAAAACTTCGTTTCAGCCACATTGTCCTCTTACAATCAATGTTTTCGAGGAAAATTCCCAGTGAATGTAAAAAGAATTAAACTACTGAGATTTCATAAACGAACAAGCAGCAGAAGCAACAGAAAATCTAGAAATGATATGCATATGGTGGGAAAAGAAGCTAAAATATAATGTGAAAAATATATTGCAAAATATTTGCAAAAGATTTCTCATGCCGGAATAATCCAACGAAATAAAACAACCAAACCACCTTAACCTCGTGAACTGGTAAAGATATGAAACACGCTTCGATCAGTTACAATACCAACAAAATAACACTTAAACACTTAATCCATTTTCTTCATAAACACAATGCAAACACACAAATAAAATTCATAAAGACACCACTATCACCAAATCAACTGAAAATTTTCAACCAACGCCGATTCATGCCTAAAACGACGTTTCCATTCCGACGTTTCTACTTACAAGGAAAGGTCACGAAATTAGCCCCATCTTTCGGGATGAGATATATACCATATTGCAGTGCTCGTGCTCTTAGTTCTACCTATACTTGCTCGTATTATTATCTCTTACAATATCATTATCACCATCATAAATAAATGACGTATCTTTGTAAACTCGCAACCACGCATGATACTGTTCAACGGCTGGAAGCAAGACTGGAGGAAAGATCATCCATCATTTACACAAGCTCCTTCCATTGCTTTTATATGAGCTTATATAAATGACTATCTTGCTTCCTTTCATACGGCTCTTTTTATCGTTCGGTGCAGAAACGTCTTCGTTCATTTCTTTTTTGACTTACTTATGATGATGATGCTCTACGAATAATTACTATACAAGATCAAACAAAACGAACGAAACATAACATCCGAATGCATTCCAAATGAACAATTCAATTGCATGCACGATAAATCACCTCGGCAAGACTTAATGTTTCTTTGCCCTTTTCAAAGAGGCATCTTTCGATTGGAATTGATTCCATCAATGACAGAAATGAAATCCAATTTCCACTCACCAAACTTTCACTTCAACTGAGATGAACGAATGTGCCTGAATTCTCTCTATTTCTCCCTCATACTCCCGAAATTTGCATACTCATTTCTAAAATCAAACACATAACAATGACAAACCCGTTAGAGACGCCAACACTTTTTTCGAAACGAAACAGAACAACATAAAACAAATGAAGTAAAGTGTTGCTGTTGTTCATTCCAGTACGAAAAAAAAACACATTTCAACGAAAAACTTGATAAGCCTTGTAAATAAACAAACCAATAAATAAGCAATTAAAATAAACTTAACAAAATAAATAAGAGAATAACAACTGAAAAACCATATTATTGACGTTAACGATTGAACTGGAAAATTTAACTTTCAACGACGAAAATAAATAAAACAACAACGATCAGCGTTCGTTCTCCTATTTGTTTTCTGCTATATACACGTTTGAGCCATTCAGTTATAAGGCAGTGATGTCTGCACTTTACCTTCAAATCAACCAGCTTCTACAAGCCGCCAAGTGAACCTCGCTTCCAACATCGATAAAAACATAAGAGAAGACTATCCGTGTAAAATGCTCCAAGTGTGCGCCAGTCTCGTGGAACATTATCGAATTAAACACAAACTTTCGGACTTTCACGAACGAAAAAATCGACTGCAATAATCGCATCGAACTATCGAATACAAACTGAAGAAGCGAACCAACACACACGCCAAAATAATACGATAACAGTGATCCATGATCACTGTTAGTGAGATAATTCGATTAGACCATACCGTACGCAAGCAGTTCAGGCATAGTGTATACATTACTCCATCACTTAATTTGTAGCAAATTATCTGAAAATTTCATTACTTGCTTCTAATTTTCTAATGAAACTGCTAACAAAAGCGAACAGATAAACAATATCATCCGTGGATCCGTAGTGGTGCAAGTTTATGAATCTCGTTATGTTTCGATTCGAAATATCGATAACAATGATCCATGATCATGAAATATCGAAACATACTTTGAATTTATAACAATATCCCTATCAAAGTAAACAACTGAAATGACACATTCTCTTCTAAATATGTAATTCTCAACGAGAATAACGATGAAACTGTACAAATAACAATATCAATGTATTGACTTACTCTATTCAAAAAAACGCCGCTAGTTGAAAACATTATTGATTTCACTATGGTGTTAGCGGTCGCCTCATCTCCGTCGTTACCTCTTCTTGCTCATCTCCAGTACTATAGGATCGAAGACGTGGCTTCGGTGAGTCTGTAAACACTTCAATGAAACCAATACATGCGTACAAATAAAACAGTGACAATTCCATCATTAACAGTCACATTTTTCATTTTTCATAATGCATTTCATTCACAATTATTCATATACAATCATAATATATTGCACGCAATCAGAACTTTTATCCCCTAATGAAATAAACGATTACATTCATAAAATACATTCACTAAACTGCATAAACGCCAACGAAAAAGAAACAAAAATGAAACCGTAAACGATTAAATATTTCAACTCAAACAACGAAGCTTCAATCCCCTTACCCGATCGGAATGGCAAAACGACTGAAATGCCCATTGTTGTTTCGGTTGAGAACGGTTCGATTGTGTGCTGAGTGGTTTGTACGTCACACTCTCTGCCNCGATTTCACTTTGTCGAGAATCGCCGAACGCATATTTTTGATAGTGAAACGCGGATACCACCTCAAGAAGGAGTCCGATTGAGTGATTAACTGAAAATTCACCACACTATCATAAATAATTCACGAAGTTATTGGAGACATAGTTTCGGTGAGATGCTTGAATATTATAGTGAAACGAATATTTCGCGAAAGAACTCGTCAATTTTAGCATTCAGAAAAATCTACTGCCAACAATTTTGAATCTCAGCATTCTTCTGAACCTATTCGTCTTCAGACTAAAATCTCCGTTTGACAACATCCATGCGGAAAGTGCCCAAATACAGAGGTATGAATCAAATGTAGACCCGTAAAGGATACACAACACTCGTAAACTGATAACGAATCGTTGCTCTTACTGACTACAGCTATGAATAAATAAATTAAACATCAATTAAATATCAATCCCATCGACAACTCACTTGAGGTGGATTCACGAGGAAGCACTCAGCGTATTTGAGCAAAAATAGACCACAGTCGGTATAATTGCGTTGTTGCGGTAATTCACGTGGTGTTATCTGAAGTCAAAATACGAAATAAAATCAAAACTAAAATTTCACCTATTCATCAAATATGTATTACCCATGTACATATACTTCTTACTGAACGAATAGCGAAACGATTCAAACAAAAACTTTCAAATTATATTCCACAAACTGCTAATCAAAATTGGCTCTTGAAGAATTTTTGCTACTGCTGTTGCTTTCATACAAAAATAATTCATTCATAAATATACATTGCAATTTCAAATTCAAAAAAAGGACTTATTTCATTCTATATTCAATAAAATAAATGTATATTTATGCACCTTCTCGACGAGTTCCTTCGCGAAACGCTCTCCATCAACCGCCTTCTGCTTACGTTTATCGTTGTATTCACACTCCAAATACTCGCGCAAAACTGCTGCCGTCAACTTTCTGCAAACAAAATCCACTCAAACCGCAACTCTACAAAAATCACTCAAAAAGTGGACACCATTCTCAACTTAAACAATAAAATCTGCACATAACATCAACCACATCAATAACAGCAGTAATCATAAAAATAGTTATCATGTTCATAATACGAGTCGCTTATTTTGATAAACTGTACTAATTCTAGTTGCAATGATTAGAAATAATCATAACCAAATGATAACACGTAATGATCAAAGTAACAAATAACAGCAGTGTGTTCTGGGGATGAAATTTTGCAGTCGGTTACACCGAAAATGTGGTCGCCTCAAAAAAGTCGAGGTCCTCGAAATTCCCCGATTCCCGCAACACACTGAATAAGAAGAATAACAATGAAACAGCAATTAACCTCTTCGGATCAAGATCATCCATCAGTGAGTCCAATACTATGATATATGTTTTCCGTCGTCGTTTCTTTTGGCTTTCATCATTCGCCTCGATCGCATTTGGAACTTCGATGGCAGCTGACGGATGCACGATTATAGCCAAATACCTAAAAACATTTTCACCATCAAATTTTACCAATACACAAAAACAACACAAAACTTCATCAATAACATTAACAAGTATAGTTGAAAGAAACATTAATCAGTACAAACCAGTGAATGTCTTCGTTGATTGGTACAACAATGTATTCCTTGCTGAATAAATCCACATTCTTGGTCCAATTTCGAACCGACTTGTAATTGGACATTATCTATAATCAACAACAATTTGAAATATTGTAGAGGCAACAAAAAAAGCAACAATAGCACAATAATGATAAGTGACTGCAATAAAGTAATGATAAGTAACAATCCCAATAATAAACTAATAATCACAATAACAACAATAACTACGACAAACCAAAACAAGACAAAATAACAACATTAATGAGCATAATTAAGACTGAAATAATCATTTAAAAACAATTACCCATTTTGATCGTGCCACAGCACTGTGCGGAGGGATGCCGCCATTGCAGTTCGATAACTTACCATAGAAGAATGAATTGAACACGAACACTGAGGAACGTCTGAAAGGAATTAAATGAAATAAAATTGAAGTGGAAAATACAACAATGTTTACAAATAATGATCCCTCTAAAAAGTGTTCATATTCCAGTTGGAACATCGTCGAACATCGTTAGCAATGTCGTTAGAACATCGATGAACATCGATGCATCGTTAGAACATCGATGCATACCCTGACGTTGCGCTTAAATCACAAGATAAAACTAAGAACAAACGTGAATCCTAATAATAAGATTAAGCCTACATCTGAGCACAAGCCAGTGTTTACACTGAACTGCCCATACTTTTTCTGCTAATCCCAAATGAATGAACCGATAAATGAATGATATTGAATGATATAAGCAAAGACTTCAATTACAACAACAACAACAACAACAACAATAAACTGTCTGTTTACCTTTTTCAGACACTTCTAAATAGATAAAGAAATTGACAAGCGCAAAAGGTCACGATACCTTTCTAATGGAATAGATTCGTAGTGAATATGTTTGAGGAAGAAGTCAATGATGACATCGTTCAGCATCTGTTCTGGCTTCAGGCATTCCACATCTGCGAAATGTATCGGTACTGCATCCTTTTCACCAACCGGATACACTAACAGATTCCCTTGCGATAAATCCACATCTTTCTTCTGCAACTTAAAATACAACTGCCTCACCGTTTCAATTTCAAAAGGCACCAAAACAACGCACAGTTAAAAACATTCCCATTACAATAAATCAATTTCAATTCACAAAACAAATACCAAATATCATCAATGAGATACTTCTTAATCTCTACTCAAAAACCCCAATATACACCATTCTATTACAGAAAAATGAATATCACTGTTTGAGAATTTCTGCAAAACAAAACAGAACTCCAACCAAACCGAATCACTGATGTGAATATTCAACTGTGAACCACTCTCGCTCACTCACTCAGAATCACACCATCCATTTGCCCACCCAAAACATTCTTCTCCCACAAAAATCACGACCTACCGCATCAACTCCATCGTCTTCGTCGATCATATGAATCACTTTACGTTGCGCAGCTTGTCGTGTCAACATTCTCGTGCCATCTAAATTTCATTCAAATCACTCGAAAGCAAGATTGAAGCATTTTTCTCGATCCAGTCAAATGCTCCTCTTAGTCAAATGAACAAATGAAGAATTCTTTCCAAAGACCAAAAAAAGAACAAAAAACAAAAGCAAACTAACTTCGAATTGAACAGAATTGTTTACCTTTCAAAACAATCGGTATCATAGTGGTGTTTGCTGCTGATGTTGACGGCACTTGCAGTGACATTACCGTTGGATGGTGGTTTTGATTGTTGTCAATGTTATAAATATTACCGTTACCATCATTATTACTAACACCGTAATGCTGATAATAGTTTTGCTGTTGCATTTGATGAGATCGTGGAGAGCTCGTTTCTACTATGCTGATTTGTCGTGCATCTATTTGACCGAATCTCATTGCGCACTGAATTGGGCACATTACTTTATTGCACCAATACTTCAGCAACGAATAACAACAGAGTGGATTAACAACATACAAATGAATAAATAAACAAAAAAGCTCAATGATAAACACAACTAATCAGCGAACAAAACCAGAGGACGACTGTTTTTTGTTCAATCTATTGCTGATGCATTGCTCTCTTGCTGTTGCTTTTGATTACTCGGTAAATTCAAGATTAAGTAATCAAAAAAAGAAATAATTTGCAAAAATAGTCAAAAATCAAAATCCGACTACTGAAAACGCAGTTTTCATTTGCTACTTAATACAACAGTTCATTATATCTTTCACTTATTACTACCATTATCGGATGAATGCTTTCTTCCTAGTGCTGTTAACTATCGAAATAGACTGAATATACTAAAATCCTTCCTAGTGAAATACATTTAAAAACGAACGGGCATAACTGGCGCCGCAATGACGGTGTATGAGGATAGGCCTGATTGAGGATTTGTTTGGGGTGATCTCAACGCGGAGGACGACTGTTTCTTGATTGGTACGGTTATGAGAGGAGGTGATGTTGGCACTGAACTGTTATTGCGAGTTATCATCATCACCGGTCGAGCCTGCTTGTTTCGCTCGTTTTCGTACTCCATCGATGCGGGCTCTATTGAACGTCTCTGCAGCACATTACGTATTCACGATCATAATAAACTTAAACTCTTATAACCTCATAACTTATCATCAGTAATCCTCTACTTAAAGTGACTTTAAGATGCCATAGGAAGCAACAACATGGTCTTCTTAGACTTACGCCTGAGTTTCTCAACCAGCGCAAGCTTGCTTTCCAGTACTGAGACTTCGGCTGATTTCAAACAAAAGCACAACCGACCGCTACCACGACCTCCAGCATAGTTCTAAGCAATCAAATGGATTGCTCTTTTATGCTAAAAGCCGTGCTATGAACATGCTCACCTCCCTCTTCTTCAATCTTCTTTCCCTTTACAGTTGCCGCTATTCAAGTTCAGACGGCCTCTTCAAATGTTTCAATCTTGCCCGAAGCTCTCGTTCAAATTTCCTTACATCATTCCAAAAGCACAACCAAGTAGTCAAGATAGTACTACTTGCTACCAGCTAATCCTCACCTTATTTCCAGGCGTATGAAAATTTGAATTGTCGCTATGCGATGATGTGTAAAGCATCGTTGTTGTGGTGGGTGGCGGTAGAGTTGATGTGGCGCTATTCGAAGGTTGATGTCGCATTGATAAATTGTGATTGCCACGATGATGCGATGCACGATGCTGTGATGTTATCAGCTGAACGTCCAGATCTTTCAACAGCTTCTCGTAATCCTCTGCATTCATCACCTCTGAAAATAGTTCACTTAATCACACCCCGTTGCGTGCCACTGCCTGTCAAATTCGTGAATGCTTATGAAATTCGACTGAATTCACTATCAGCTCTATTACTTTTACTGCGATCATCACCATTTTCCGTTGGTGACATTATTATCCATTGTTGCCACTAACAAAAACAATGAGAGAAAACTAAGTTTTAGAAAATAAACCGTACGCAAAAAGGGTTCATTTGGGATATTGGCATTTTTTGGCATCAACGATCCATCAGCTTTTCGCTTTTGCACATTGCTTAATCTGAGGTCAAGTTTCCGCAAATCTTCTCGTCCACATGCCTTTATATCAATTACGATATATCTGAAATATTATTATAACGTTACTCACCAAAACCAATCAATCCCAACACAAATATATCAAAGATTAATCCAATAAAAATTAGGACCACCGAAATTTTTGCATCAATCAACGAAAAACGCCACAAAATCGGTGGCAAAATTCACACAACAAAACACAATTTCAACAGATCGTTCGAGATTCAAAGAAAGTGGAACAATCCGAATGATGACATCCAACCACCAACAACAAATCGGACAAATAATCAGAAACAAGTCAATATTTCTTTAAAGCTCCGTCTGCACTCCTTTCCTCTGTGCAACTTTCAATTAGTGAATCAACATGAAGTTAACGAATCAGTAAACCGAAAGAAGGATCAAATCAATCAAAATGATCGAATAAGATCGAACTTTTCGCAACGATGTTGACTTTCAGGATCGAAATACATCGCGTTGCATGTCTCGGCTGTATTCGAATTGTGCTCCAGCAAGAGCGAATCACGGATCCGTTTTGCACAATAACGATTCACATGCAACGCTAGGCCACGCTCATGACCTTCGAACGAAACCTAAAATGCAATACAAATCACACAACCAACACTAATACAATAACGTTTCCTTCACCTTCATGATTACAATGTTTCAAAGAATCACCTTACTCTGTGAAAAACTCAAAAATTAATTCTCGTCTTCCAAATCCGGAAAGTTTCTAAATATTCTTCATTACCCAAGCGATATATTTTCCCGACATCGTTGTTACCTTTACAATTACTATCATAAATACCGTTTTTATTTGAACAGTTGGATATTGCCCGACAATTCCAAGTATTCAACGAACAGTAATAACTATCCTTAAAACGTCAGATGTCCAACAAAAAATAATGATTATTTCAAAGAGTCTGCTAATGAAATAATCACTGTTATCATTATCGTTAACAACACAATTAACAGAAGTAAAGCTCACAATTGCCCTCGAAATGTGCTTGAAAGCAATCTGCAAGGAGAGTCGCTCAAAGTTGATCGACTCCTTCACATTGATTGTGATATAATCCGTTGAAACTACCGTCGGCCGAATCACTGCACACCGCACCGTTCCAATACATATGAATGCCGAACGAATCTGAATAATGCTCACAATATTGAGCATGATAAATACGATAATAACAGCAAACAATGACAACAAAAATATCAATAATGATAAAAAATAACAATATGATTATATAACGGCTGATACCATATTGGCGCATTCAAAAAGACTGGTACTTAGTGCTTATATCCCCACCTCAATCCAATCTTCTTTATATATCATTTTTCCCGAGACACTCAAAACAAAGATTGAAAAAGTACTGAATGTGAGACTCATCTAAAATCATTCACGAATTGTAACAGAATTGACAAGGCACCCGGTAGTTTTTCTGATACACAAAACGGAGGGAAAGATAATAAAATTCATACCGATAGTTCTTCAGCGTCCGACATTCTTGAAACTGCCCGGTACTGAGTCAGCTTAATCCAACCTAGTCGAGTAGCTCACCCGTTTAGCCACGAAACCCGTGAATACGAACTGAAGATCGAACCGATCCGATATGATATTCACACTGAAATCAGCAAATCCACACTGTACGTATTGAATTCATTGTTGCGATCAGGAGCGTTAGTCAAATAACCACGATTCGTCGCCAAAACTCGAGTGATACGAAAAACTGAGTGCAAGAAACATTGTGATATATTTCACGGTCGTTTTTACCAATAATAATAATTAGCAAAAAACAAATTCATCAAATTTATTGCACTATTCCGATGAGAGCAAGCCGATATTGCACTAATATTCATCGCATTCATCTGATAGCATTTGGTGG